AATTGATGTCAACAAAGTTAAAAAAAAATTTAATGTAAATATTTTTCATTTTGAACTTGAATACTTTGAATTAGATGTTTTAGAAAACTCAGTTCAAAAGCACAAAATATTATGTTGAAAAGTGATATCGACCCTAATAAAGTGATATCGATATGACATGCGTGATATCGTATGTGCGCAAGTCAAGTAACTTTGAAAATAATTTTAATTTATAATCAGCTGACAATCAACTGACTTTTCATTCAGTTTGTTCATAAAGCTGAGAATGGTGCACTACATATAGCAAGGAATAACGAAAATAAGTCCCATATAAAAAGTTTTCTATACCCACACTTTCATGAAATTATGAAAATGCATTGAATGAAACAATAGAACGAATGTCAAAATAATTAGTGTCTATTAAAAAAGTAATAAACTTCAGTTATAAATCAAACAATTGTACGAATGTGATTGTACAGCAAATAATAGTTATAGATAATTGCAAAAATGATAAAATTCTTTAATAACGTTAAAAGCATTTCGACATCAAATATGTGTCATTTTAATTATTCTAAATATAATGTGTAACATTTTCGTAATAAATTTTTACTGTTATACTGTTGATCATTGACATTTTTTTTAAAAAAAGTAAAAAGGTAAAGAAATTCGAAGGTAAATCGTACCATTAAAGGTTAAATCTAGCAAAAAATTTTTTTTTTGTAAAACCTGAGTGAAACGATTAAATAACAAAAAATTAATTGTTGCTAAAATAAAATACTAAATACTCGCTTGCCTTTTTCTAATATAACAACTTCTAATTAGAAACTAGACGTAAATATCTTGTTTTTGCTTTTTTTTATCTTAAAATATCGGAATAGAATTTTATCAGAAATCTTTCATAAATGATCATAAACTTAAATCATATTGTGTAGTTTTTTTTTCTAACGAAAAGAAATTAATATAACAAAAATATTATAACTTTAATCAATAGAGCATCTTTTAAAAAATTTCTATAGAGTCCGGACATTAAATAAAATTAATTGCTTCCCAGATATGTATCATTTATATTCAACAAAAGTTTTTTGTTGCCTAAAATATTTCGCCGTATATTTATTATCATTATAGATTTATATGTTTTTTTTGTTATTTTGTTTATATTCACAACATACCCTGTGATGAATTTATGTTGTAAAACTTAAAGTTTTATGAGAACGAAAATGATCGCATGGGTACATTTTTTTATTTCCAATCAGTCACGATTGTTGATAGCGTGAGTACGAATGTGTAAATAAAAAGAATAAAAAATAATCATGTCATTCGATTATGATGCGATATCGATGTTAATAAACACGACATTATACGGTTTTATTCGATTCTTTTATTTCAGTATTTATTCGTTTTAAAACATCGAAAAAATAGAGATAAAAATTTCAAAGAGATGTCAAATCGTTGTATAGGAATTTTAAAATATGACGCATTCAGAAATTTGAAAAAATTATATTTCCTAAAATGATTAAAACAACATAGATTTTAACCTAAAATTAAATTTTTTTTTCTATATTCACGTAAGTTGTGTTTAAGATCTTTTTTTATCATATAGTTACAATATTTTTGAACATATATCAAAAATTTGCTTAAAACTGATTAACCAAAACAGTAATCGAGCCAACATGTGCATATGTTGGAATACAAACGTACGTATGTACGTATAAAACAATTATAAAACTTAATTTAATGTTTTTGAAAATTAAATTATGCATTAATTTTATAGTTTTTTAGGTAGTATGGTAAAGAAAGAATCAAATAGGAAAAAACTAAATCGGAAATTTTCGAAAATTGAATAACCTGAGCGTCATCTTGTCATCTCTTGTACGTATACATAGATATGATACATGTATATACATAGATATGATACCTATTCACATTGGCCTATATGTTATACCAAACCTAAATAGATAGCTACGCACTATAATTATTGAAACAAGAGAGTTTATTAATATTGATAATTGATATATACTATGTAGATCAGTGTAGTTATTATTATTAAAATATTAGTTCTTTAATTTCAATCCAAAGCAAAATTCAACGGAGTAGTTATGTACGAGTAGTAGTTTTTGACGAGTATTACAAATAGAATTCTTTTGATATTCCAAATTTTGTACATATTTAAATTAAGTTGACATACATTATATATGTACCTCAATATTTTAGTTGGTTAAAAACTTACATATGTAAATTCATACATACATATATATTAACATAAACATAAACATTCCTAAAAAAATTCTTATTATGGTTTAGATTTATTAAAAATTTTAATATTTTGACTATTTAACACGTACATTATTATCGTTAAAATTAATGCAAAATTTATTCAATTTGCGTAAATAAAAGATAGAAAAAAGAAGATTTTAAGTTGTTTACCTTTGAAAAACAATAAGAATAAAAAATTGAATAATTTTAGAACTTTGGGATAAAAATTTTTATATATAGCTATGACTTTTATGTATGGATACTTATATGATATGTATCAAGAACATTTTTATAAATACATACCTATACGATCATTAATGAAATCATTTTAGAACTTGAAATAATTTATTATTTTAATATTTATTAGAAATTTATTAGAAATTTTTTTTTTGGAAGTAGGCAGGTACATATTAGGTATATATTTTAAAGGAATTTATAAAAAGAAATAAATATGTTTCAGTAGCGGCAAGATATGTAGATGACTTAGTTTTTGTCCATTATATTGTAAAGAACCTGAGTTCTACTGTTAAAGTAGAATTAATATAATATATATCAGATATACAGAGATATATTCGAATATAAATCAGTTATCTTGGAACCTTGAAATGAAATTTGGAATAGATAAATTTTGCAAAAAAAGGGAGGGTTATAAAGAAAATTCTAAAAACAACTTCATAAATACCTGCCTTCCAACTACCTAGACACTTTCAATTTTCTGAAAATTCAAGCTAATATAAATTGGTTATCAGAGATTTGAAAATATTTAATCATTTAAAATAAAGAAAATCAAATAAAGTATTATTATAATAAAGTATTATTCAATGTTAATTTTTTTATTCTGTAGTTGTATAACATTCGTTTTATGTTATGTAAAATGTTCTATGTATGAGAATTCATAAACCTCTTTTTAAAAAAAGGTCTAGATATCTAAAATTCCACATTAAATATGTACTTTTTTCCAACTTCAATAAGGTCGTATTTTTAACTTATTTTGTTTAGGTGCTTTATAATTTATTACAATGTTACCTTAGTTCACACCAAAATCATTTATAACATTTTAATTAGCATGCATTATAATTTTTGTTTTTATTTATTTGCTACTGAAGTAAGTTTTTGAAGATACAATATTCAACAAACAAAATATGGATAAAATATTTAAATCATCATCATCAAAATCGATTAATTTTTTATCACTTTCATTATCAAAGGTGTTTCAACTTTTGTTTCACTAAAAGAAAAAAAAATTGAATTTCTTGCTTCTATTATGAATATAAAAGTTAAATTTTTGATATTCTTCTGAATGTGAATGCTCGTTTGGAATACTTGCAAGTGAAGTGTTCCCATGTGGAAAAATTAATACTTCAGATGTCATTTCTAATAAAATCTTGCGTACTATTGCTTATTTAGAAATAAGTGTAAGAAAATTTTAGTAAGTGCTAAGGTTAATGGAAAATCCCAATTCGAAAAATATTAAGCAAATCTTTTATATTATAAAAAAAGAATTTAATAATTTGCTCAATGTTTGAATCTATTCCAATTTGAAATAGATTTAAATGTATCTATGTGAATGAAATGAATTTCGGGAATTGAAAAGAAACATATGAAGAAGAATGAATTATGAAAATTATTTCATAATTCACAATAAAATACTCAGTTCAAATTCACTGAAGTAAATATTAAAGATTATACAAGCAAATTGTAGTTAGATTTCTCTTGTTTTATTTTGGTAGTACTTTAATTTTAATATCTTAAAGTTAGCAAAATAAAAATCAATATTAATTAGTAGTGTCTTTATTTTTTTAAATATTTTTTTAGTTTTGATTTTGAACTTGTGCTTTTGCTTTCAAATTTTGCTTTCACTTTCAGATAGAAGATATACTCAAAGTTCTTCGGTGTTACATAATTCAAAGAAGCATTTAAAATGTAAAAATATCATTTTGTTTTTGTTAGTTTATTAATGATCATATTATGAAAATGTGTAATAAACAAAAAATATGTTGAAAGTTCATAGGATTAAATGAAATTCATACAAAAGATTCGATTTTTAACTATGTATATACCTCATATTTGTATGTATTATTGAAAAATTGATGAACGTAGTGTATAGAGAGCAAACTATATTTTTAAACTTTTGAAATCACTCAGCGATCTTTCAAAAACAAAACGTACTTAGCACTTTGGCTCTGTCCGCCCAATTCAACATATATTTGGGAAAAAGAGTCACTTAATTTAATAATTTGATCATATCCTGTACACTTTTAATCATTTACATTTATTATTTAAAATGAAAAATGGTATTAAATGAAAATGTGATTTTTTTACAATGCCATGCTACTATTTAAACTTAATGTATCCAGTAAAATACCAGTAAAATTGTTCCAAATTAAATATTTTAACTGGTAAATCATTTAACATTTTTTATAATTGCGATAGTAAAGATAGTAAAATATTTGATATTTATTGACCTCTTCTTCGGCTCAAACCCACAAATTCAAAAGCAACACTTAAAACATTGTAATATTTTATTGGTCAAAGTCAAATTTTATAATAAAACCAAAAAAAAAACTGAATATTGTCAATAATTTATCTTTTAATTTTTTGAGATGCTCTTATAAACAATAGCGTTTTAAATTTTATTAAATTTATAAAAAAGAAACATTTAAAATTTTTGATTAATCGTTAAATTCTTTTGTATAAAAATATGAAAAAAATGAAGAAAATAAACAGTTTACAACAAAATTTTTTTTCTTCTCTTCTCTTATACACAGATATTTAGTTGCATATATCTACTTGATAGTGTTAATAGCAAATCAAAATATTATGATGGACCGGATCGAGCCTATAAATTTGGTTATTCAATAGAAGGAAACCAACATAGACAAGAACAAAAAGGTAAATTAAATAAAATATTTGTTAATATAAATGAATAAAAAAATTATGAAAACAATATTACATTTTACTAGATTTAGTTTAAGGTCATTAAATATTAAATGACATCTTTTTAAATAATTTTTTTTTTGGTCATTTAAAAAAATTTTGGTTAACCTAATTGGTAAAAGACATGCCATGTACTACATAAATAGTAAATTTTCTTTGTATACCAGTAAAATAACAAATAATCATCGGGATTTAATAAATTATTATACTGATATTAGTTAGGTATTTGCGTTTTCATATTTAAGATGCAATTATAACATTAGTTTTTCATTTAATTTTAAAAATATGTACTATTAACCCTTTGAATACTAATAAAATCAACTGTCCAATACAGTAATCATCAAATCGAATTGGTTTCAGTTTCCGACTACGGTTTGTTGTATATGTGATTGCAATTTTTTGTTGGTGTATATTATACAATAAATATTTTCGAAAAATTGAAAGAGATTACAAAATTTGATGTAATCAACTTGTTTATAATAAAATATCTTGAAATTAATTTTGCCACTGCTAAGACCATTTATTGCTGATGAAAAGGTGGCACCATGTTTAAAACTTCCAACTATTTGTACATTAATTATCATAGTTCAAGATTAATTTTTAAAATACAAAATATCAAACCGCCTGTATCGTTTTCTTTGAAAGGGTTAAAATTTCTGTAAATAGACATGATTTTTGGTTTAAAATCTTTATGTTTTCTATGGTGCCGAATACAAGTATTCATTTAAGAAAATTAATTTTTTATAATATGCATGTACTGAGTAATATGGTGGGTGTTACAACTTTTTTTTTATTTATTTTTTTTTAAATTTATAAATATCTTAATTAAATCAATTAAACATTTTCGTGATGATGAAGCTGTATTTTTTTTTTTTTGCTGCAAAATATTATAACAAAGGTCTTTATTTAATCAAATTTGATATACTAATAGTTTTGCAATCATAAATTTTAAAGACAATGTCAATGAAGACAACTGTTGACAATATAATTTGAATTGAATTTCGAATTTAATTAAAAAATAAATGGATAAAATATCAATATACAATTTTTGCAAAATTTTTTAATATTAAATGTGTATGTTGTCTTTTAATTTTTCTTTTTCAAATAGACGAGAATGGAATCATAATGGGCGAATTTGGTTTTATAACAGGGGATGGTGTTTATCATGTCACTGGATATGGTACAGATGAGAATGGAAATTTTAAAATTCTCTATATGAAAAATATTAAGATTGGATTACGTGAGACACTTTTAATTCATTAAAATTTTGAAAATTTTTAATTGCAATTTGAATTAAAATTTAATAATCTCAACCTTTATTTAATTATGTAAATTGATTTTATTGCGTAGCTGGTGAACCTGGACAACAACCTGCACCTAAAAATTTAGGTGGAGGATTGCCTGAGCCATCATTTCCTAGAGAAACACCACCACCATCACCTTCAGCACCATCTCCATCCGAAGGACCTAAAGCTCCAAAAGCTTCTGACGTAGCTTCATGTGGATCTTGTAAAATACCTGAAATTGAAAAAGGAGTCAGTGCAGCTTCAAAAACTCAATCTTCGCCAAATGCTAACAGTATTGCACAGGCCCCTAGAACTTCAAGTGCAGGAAGTGGAATTGGAGGCTCTACGTCAGGAAGAGGTCCAGGAAATTCAGTGCCATCTTCAGCTGCCGGTTCTAAAGGTAAATTACTTAAAAGAAAAAGTATTTAGTAATTATGTTCCATTATTATCTTCAAAAAAAATAAAATAGGTGTACAAGGAAGACAAGGTAAAGCACTAGGTTTTGAAAATCCAAATGCACCACAAAATAATGGAGGAGACCAAAGCGTCGATTCACGAATATCATCTAGTCAAAATGGTTCACCTAAATCACCCTCTGGATCCTTATCACCCTCTGGAGGAAGCTCTTCAGGTCTACCAGGGCAAGCAGGTTTGGGATCTGGATCAGGATCTGGATTAGGATCAGGATCTCCATCATTATCTGGTGGTGTAGGTTCAAGCGATCCAAGTGGAATTTCTATTGCTAGCAATAAGCCTGGTGGAGTTGCACCAATTGGAGGATCTGGTTCACCATCAAAGATACCTTTAGATTTATCAAAAATGCAAGATATTATCAATGGAATATTATATAAATTTAATTATACAGCTGGCTATCATGGACATCACGAGCAAGGTGATCATATAGGCAATAAAGATGGTGGTTATTTCTCTGTATCTCGTGATGGTTATCATCGTGCTGTAGATTACACAGCTAATGAAAACGGTTTCCAACCATATATTAAATTAAGACAAGCTGCTGATAATGAAGTACCGAAACCAGAAACTGAAAAAGAAGCAGGACTTAAAGGATATGAATTTAAATGGTTTAATTTAGGTGAAGGCAAAAAACAATAGTTAAATAAGTAAAATATAATATAAATATCACCTATAATTTAAAAACTGAAAAAAAAAAGAAATAAAAAAAACATCAGCGTGCTACAAAAAAGGAATGCATACTAAAAACTAAAGTAAAACTAAAGTGTTATATTGTACATGCTTTCATCTTATCGTCGAATATCAACATCAAAACCCAAATTATTCGTACTGAAAAATTAAGATCAAGTTAAAATATAGAATGTATTAAAAATTTCAACTTATGGGGTACAAAACTTGAATTATAAATAGTACAAAATTTTTAATTTGAAATACATTTGAAATTTTTCATTTGGGTTTTACAGTTCAAAGGCAAATATAAGGTGTTTACCAAAATCCAGATTCATCCATCAATTGAAATTGCATTGCTGAATAAATCAAATTGACGTTAGATCTGCATTTTAGTAAATGTTCATATTCTTAAAATTAGAACGATTACTTGAACAAAAGTTATAGAAATTGAAGTTAAATGTTATATTAGAGCACTTTTCTACTATCATTTTGCTATTGTAATTCAATTTTTTCTTTAAAAACTATCAGCAATTTTTAATTTATTATAGTAATATAACAATTTTATATTATATTTATAATTTATAAAAGTTACAAAAATATGACTGATATTTTTACTGCCATTTTATGAAATTTTTTTTTCGTAAGAAATATTACTTTGCTGTGATGAAAAATGATATTAAATTTTGATAGATGCAACCATATTGTGATGTGATGGCAATCATAACTTTTTTTTTAGTTTTCTAATTCTATGCTATCTTTACGTTGTTTCTATTTTTTTTTTTTGGAATTTTGTAATAAAAAGAGATTGGCTCAAAAATTTTATTATTATGACTTGCTTGGGTCTACAATTTTTCATTTTCTTTTCATATAATATAACACTTTAGTATTTTATGTATATGAAAAAGTTCAAGTAATTATAATAATTGTACTTGAATTTAGTTTTTTTTTCCTCATTTTTTTATGCAGATTAATTTTTAATTATAGATTATAATAATAACTGTAGTTAGTTAACAATAGTTTTTTTAATTTTTATCGTTTTTTTTTGTTAATTATTGTAATTTTTTTTGTTCGTAAGTATATTTTAAATATTAAGCTGCCATTAATGTAAATATATATATGTGTAATTGTGTACATACATCTCTTGTATAAAATAAAACAACATTTAGACTTTTTTTAAATACATTTTTTTTTTCTTCTTTATTTTAAGAGATTTTTTTTTATATTATTTTTTTTTTTTACTATATTCACACCTACAATGTTTTTTTTTTTTGGTTTTTATTAACTTTAATTCTAAAATATTCTTTTGCTGTATTAATATTTAATTTTCGAACAATATTATTTATTTTTTTTTTGAAATTATTATTATTTTATATTTATTTAATTTTTAAGATTTTTCTTTATTTTAGGTTTTCTTTAAATTTACGATACATTCATCTTAACATTTAAATCAAATGTCCTTTACTATTTTTTTAATATAATAATAATATTATATAATATATTTTTAATTATTTAATAAAACATTTTTTTTTACAAATTTTTATTTTGTTTAATTATTTTAAATTTTGATTTTAATATTAATTTTTGTGATATTTACTTATTTCATTTTGTTTTGTTTTTTTTTTTTTTACATTTATATTTGTTTTTTAAATTTTCTGTATTTTATTTTTAAATTTATACAATTTATCTTTTATTTTTAAAAATTATAAATTTAAATTTTTGTGTGTATATGTAAAAGTTGAGTAATGTTTACTGTAAATTACAAACAATCATTTAGGTAAGTATATTGTATGTAAATTACAAACAATCATTTAGGTAAGTATAATGTATGTATGTAGAGGATTTTCGTTAATGCTAGATACGCTGAAGGTTTTACATTAGAATTTAAATTTCTAAGCCGCACAGCGTTCTACAGTATGCTAAGAATTTCAACTAAAGTTTTTATATTTCCGCAATCTGCAAGTTCTGGAACTTTTAAATAACCAGCCGTTGGAAAATAATATAGATGAAACATTGTTATGAAAATTAAAATTTTGAAATTTTAAAATTAAAAAAAAAAATTAAAAAATCTCATGCGATAGCGAAAAAAATCAAACTAGATTCCTGACACTTTTTTATAACAGAATTATGAATTTCCGAATGAACTTTAATACAGCGAGTAAGTTCCGAATGGATGGATGGATCTGGAAGTATTTCAATATGTGGAGTGTACAATTTTCGAACGTGCGCTACAAGTTAAAGTAATTCTAGAACCTTCATTTAACGAAAACCCAAGTAATTATTTTTTTTGATATTTTATATGCTTTTCTTAAAGTTATAATAATACAGATTTTTTTTAAATAAATAATTAAACTTAAAATTCTATTAAAATAAATATAAATAATTTTTTTTTGTGTTTTTTGTTTTTGTATATTTATTGTATATATATATAAGTATATATTTACAAAACTATCACAGTCTTCCACATATATGTTTAACAAAAAATTTTGTGTACTTTTAAATTTAATTTTATATCAACGATCTTATATACATGAAAATATTAAATAAAATTTTTAAAAATTTTAAATTCAAAATAATTTTTAGGATTTTTTTTTTGAAATAATCATTATTAATAATTTATTTTTTTCTTTAATTTTAGGAAAAAATAATTTATTCAAATTAAGGAAAAATTATTAAAATGGTTCGTTAGAAAAATGTGTATAAATTCCTTTTTATTTTAAAAATCCTGTTGGTATTCAATAAAATTTTTAGTTATTGCATTATAAATATAATTTTAATATTAATGCGTTTAATTTTTGATGCTTATATAGATTTTATTTTATAAAATCGTATTATAAAATTTAAAAAATTTAAAAAGCACACATAAAGATTTGAAGGAAAAACTATTTACTAAGTACAATAATTTTTTTTTTATTAACATTATTATTAATATTTTGTACGAATAAGAAAATATTTAAGAAAGTAAAGTAAAAATATTGTAAATAATTTTTATAAAATAAAAATAAATTATAGTTTTAAACATAATATAAGTTATGATTGATTATAAATTTAGCTTTTAAAATAATTAAAGCCATTTGTTATATAATTAATATTTGCAATGTATAATTCCAATATCGTTAATTAAAGAAATCATATTAATAAATAAATTAGATAATTTAGAAACTTTATACCTAAACTCCATATTTTAAAAATGAAAATTAAAAATTTCCAAAATACGAACAAAGAATATTTTTAATAAGAGGAGGAAAAATTCAATGGAAATTTTTGTTAAAAATTTTTTAAAATAATTTAATTTGTTTTTATAAATTTTTTCGAAAGATGACACATACAGTTTTTCTTTTTTTATTAAATACTATTGAAATCCGCCTATAAAATAAATGTTAAAATTGTTAAATAATGAAATTGCTACCATGTTAATATTTGCTTGTATAACATGATTTTTTTTCTATGAATTATATAAAAATAAAAAACAGGAATAAAATTAACAGTTAATTGAGTTGTATTTATGTATGTATGTATTGTATATACCATTTTATACACGTATGTATAAAATAAATTTTGTAAAATATTATTTATGTTAATAATTTTTCTAAATTTAAAAAAAAAAAATAGAATTAAAAATATACCGCAATCACTATTTGGATGACAAAACAAAAAAGAATCAATTTTAAAAATTCAACTTTAAAACAAAAAAAAAATTTTTTTTTTTGGTGGCTAAAATTTATGTCTAGTTACGCAATGTTCTAAGATTTTTCATTTAGTTTTTGTTCTTTTTCCTCCTTAATTTATATAGAAAAATTTTTGTATTTTTAATATTTATAAGAAAATTATGTTAATTTTATTTTTATAAAATATTCTATGTGTAGTTTTTAACTAGTATGGTAACCGATTTTAATTAAAAACTAGAAAAATATTAAAAATTTTTTTTTTTTGGTTAAGTCTTGGTCTATTAGATTTTTATTTCTTTTTAATATCTTTTTTTTTTTATTTATTTATTTGACAGGCAATTATTAAAAAAATTTAATGATTTTTTTATTTATTGTTTTTTTCTTTTTTTTTTTTGGTACCTTATTGGAAACATATTTAAACATATTTTTGTATTTTAATGTGGAAAAATGAGTGATTAACATTTTTTAAATACACATGTGTGTCTTTTAAAAGGAAAGAATAAATATAAAAATTGTGTGGGTTTTGGATTAGTAGTTACTGAATTAATTTAATTAAAAAAAAAAACTGGAATATTTTTTCAAAAAAATTTAAATTGAAAAATCTTAAATATTTTTATTTCTGTTAATTTTTTATTAAAAAATTTATACTAAATTTGGAGATAATTTATAAATAATCTATTGTAGAATGATAATAAAAGTATTAAATTTTAAACATGTGTGAAATTTATTTCAAAAGTAGGACAAAGCTATAGGATAAAGTGTGAAAAATAATTGATTTCAGAATTTTAAAATGTATGTAGCATATTAGGATGGTATACTTTGTGGCTTATTCTGAGTATTAAATTACTAAGTGTTCTGAGTATTAAATTACTAAGTGTTCTGAGTATTAAATTACTAAGTATTGTAAAAAGTTCGGTATTATTATTATTGTAAATACAAATAAATTTATACAAATAACTCGTGTCTGTAATAAAGTATTTAAAACTTTTACGGTAAATATCACTATCACTTAGTGATTTGATACTCAAATTAAATCCGATTATAAGAACTATGCTAAAAATGTATTATTGACTTGAGGTTCTATTTAAACACGAAATTTTAATTACATAATATTATTTCAACAAAGAACAAAATCGATATACAATAGGGGTTTATATGCAAAAATTCACTAGAAGATAGACTAATTTAAACTTAGTATATTTGCTTATTATTGTTTATTATATTTGCTCGAAATATTAATTTGCTCGACATATTTGCTCGAAATATTAATAATTATATTTTCACTATGAAATTACAAAATACAAATAACAACACTATAACTTAAATTTAGTAAATTGAAGTATGTATAAGTAGGTTTTATGAAAATTTTAATATCTAATTTAGAATTTGATATAAGAATCCTGATTTTAATTATATAACAAATGGCTTTTAATGCTTGTAAACTAAAATATTCTAAAACAATATAGCATTTTCTTTTAGTACTTTTTCTGATTTTATCATTTTGTTTTTTTAATAACTATGACTGTTTATAAATTCTTGTATTGGTAGACAACTTTGTTGCGATAGACTCTAAAAGTCGAAAAATAAACAAATGTCTACCTTTATTTCGTTATAAGGGAAAATTGGTTACTCGTCTCTGCTTGTAGTTCTACACACAGTAGATAATATTCGAGTCAATTCTTATTTTTTAATAAAATTTAAAAATATAATCTGATTATATAAATTAAAAAACCTAAATCAAATTATAATTACATTATTATTATTAAATAATGTTTTAATAATTTACAATACATATATAAATTAAATTATTTTCTATGTATTTTTTATATAATATAATATTATGTTACATAATTATTATTGAATATTATATAATAACTAATTATTATTTAGATATACATAATTTTATACTTTATATATTTGTTAAAAACTTTTTGTAATCTTACAATTCTATAATAATATTGCTAAAAATACACTGAAAATTTATAATTTATTATATTAATATAATGAAGTAATTATTATATTTATATACTGATATCATTTTGTTATAATTTTTTATTTTTACCTATTTGTTATACACTTTGATAAATCTTCTTGTTATACTGTAAATTTTTTTTGTAGTAAAATTTTTTCAATACTGTTTATTTATCTATGTATATCAAATATGTAGTTTTGTAATGTATATATAAGTAATTATGTTATTAAAAATTATTATATTTTTTAAATAAATATGACACATTCAAAATTCACTTATTTAATTTTACAATTGTATTTAAAAAAAAACTACTTTTATATTCTTGGTAATTAATTATTTAATTATTTTTTAATATTAAATATTTAGTTAAAATTTTGTTTTTTATAATAATTTTATTATTTACAAAAGACTAAACATCAATTAAATTTATTTGTTATACATTGATTTTTTTTTTATTTTTTTTTTCTTTTTAATTTGTAAATGGATACTTTGGTTTATATTTTCTATATGTTTAAAATCCCTTACATAATCTATAAAACTGTTATACAATATTATTTATTGTAATATAATATTATACTTATAATTTATTAGAGTAATAATTAATTATAGAAATTTATTTTACATTACGCACAATAATCACATGTGATATTTTTTATTTATTTATTTTAATTTTTGGTTTTTTGTTTTTTAATTTAAACTTAACATGAATTTTTTTTCTGATTTTTACTTATTAAATACAATAAAAGGTGTTTTTTATGATTCAATACCATTTTGGGTTTTTTTGTTTGTTTTTAATATTAAATTTTATTTTGTAATTAATTAATAACTATTATATTGTATAATAATTATTTTGTGTTGAAAATTAATAGAGAAATTATTTTCAAACATAAAATTATTAATTTAATTTTGTGTGTAATTTTTTTTTTTTGGTGGATGTTGAGTACATTTCTTTATATTATAAGTTAATCTAACTAATTTTAATTATACAATTATTTTTAAACTGTTATAATTTAATATACATTATGTATTTTATTATTTCATATATTTATTTCAATTTAATTGTTCTAATATAACATTTGAAGAATTACTATCATGAAATAAATTCGTCCATAATTTTAAACCAAATTTTGATAATTCTTCAGCTACTGTTATTCCTGTAGTATTTGGTGGTGGTAATGATGAAGATGATGATGATGATGTTGTTGGTGGCGGTGGTGGTGGTGGTAATGATAGTGAGGATGATGATGGTGATGATAATGATGTTATAGTTGTTCCTCCCAATCCTCCTATTGTTTGTGATAATGATGATGTATTTGTATGACCTGCTATTGGTGATGTTGGTATTGTTGGAATTGTTGGTGTTGTTTGATGTGATGTAGCTGCAATTGATGATAAATTATAATTATTATTACTATTATTTGTATAATAATAGTAATTATTATAATTATGATTTGAATTTTCAATATTTAAAGTAGTAGCTGCTGCTGCGGCTACAGCTGCTGCTGCTGCTGATGCTGTAGCTGTTGCTACTGTACATTGTGTTACTGGTATTGATGTTACTGCTGATCCTGTTGTTGGTGCTGGTGGTGGTTGTGGTGGTGGTGGTATACACAATGGTGATGTAGATAAATATTTTTTCTATTAAAAACCTCCACCAGATGGTGATGGTCATGCATAATGTGGATATGAGCTCAAATGAGGTGCCACATGTGATGGACCAACATGACTCATAGAATGTGGTTGATATAAATTTGTTGCGGGGCTGCCCCAATTACCCCAAGATGATGCTGGGAATATTGATGCTAAAATAAATTGTAATATTAATTATTATTATTACTTTCTTTAAAACTTTTTGAGTTTTAAAAAAATGGTTATTTATGTTAATTTAATTTTTTAATTAAAATCCTGATAAAAATTATACATAGGTTAATTTTCCATTAAAATTAAATGTAAAAATTGAGAATTCTACTAGTTTCATATTGTTTGTACACCTATTAATGATATCACATGATTTTTATATGTATAAATAATATGACTATTTCAAATGACAAATATAAAGAAGAAGAATAAACTATCATATAATTCTAAATATATTGATATACAACCATGAGTATGAACATATGTATATTTACATTGATTTGAATGCAATAAATATATATATGTATAAAAATAAGTTAAAAAAAATGAAACCAGATAAATAAATACAGGAAAAAATTTGTTACTAAATGGGAAACAATCTCAAAGTGGAAAATTTCCCGAAAGCTTCCGTCGCAACCGACGAATTCGTAACCGGAACGGAAGTGGTTTTTTCCTCTACTGTATATTTATGCTATCCATATATTTTCTATATATATGTTAATATTGTATACTCGATTATAATATATTATATATATACATATATTTATAAATATGTTTGTATAGATTTTAAATTGTTTTTTTTTTTTAAATTCTAATACCTAAATATTTTTATTTTATTTTTCTTTGTCTATAATATTAAATGTGGAATTCCCAAAAAAAAAAAAAAATAGTGTATAATAGTTTTTGCTTTAACTGTTATACTGAATATATGTACATATAATATTAGAAAAGGTGTGAGATAAACATTATTTCCAAGTTTTTATTTTAAATTAATGATTTTTACTCGTATAGTCTAGCCTGACAAATGATTCAAAAACTGTTATACTGTATAAATATGCATAAATGTACAGATATAGAAATAAATTTTATATTCTCCCCATTTTTGTTGGTTTGTATTTTGTCCTTCTTCCACATAATTATGGTATTATGTTCAATAAACTTTTATTAACTAATACACAGACATTTGGGAACAATACTCGTTTATGTATTCTATTTGACTTTGAATATACGTATATCTTTATGAAAATATAAATGTACATATATAAAATTTTAAGTGAGACAAAGAGGAAGGACTCAACTTTTGCTTTTGTTACAATTTTTTTTTGTTTTGCATTTTTATAGAGCTTATATTGTAAAGGATATTTATAGAGAGTTGTTTATAGAAAATGGAAACTTTAAAAAATATATTAATTGTATGTATAGATATATTTATATTTAAACAATAGTTTTATATCTATTGATAAAGTAAAAAATAGTAGAAGAATATTGCGATCAAATCAATAATAAAATCAAAGAAAATTAATATTTTGATATAAAATGAAGTAAACTATAATAAAATAAAGAATGGGAAATGACGGAGAGTATAACAGTAAAGAAAAATTTTTTTAGAGTAAGGCCATTTAAAATTGTATTCTTATTTGTATAGAGCTTTTAGTATAGAGAATATAAGAAAATATTGTAAGAAATCACACATACTTACATATAACACATATTTTTATATAGTCTCAATACAAACATATATGAATTTAAGTTTTCATTATGATTTTTATTTCATTTAAAATGGTCGCACACTTGTGAAGGATTAAAGAATATACAAATGAGGACCTAAAATATCCTGTCTGTAATGTACACCATTATTACAGTTACATATACATTTTATAAATAATCTACATATAGTAAGGTATAGAAAATATATCTGTTATATTGAGAATATTTGAAAAATAAAAGGAGCGGCTGTTTGCATTAAATTGGCATACTTAAAAAGCATAGAATTTATTATTTATTTTCGAAAATTTTGATTGTATTGGTGTGTTGTAGAATATTTAAGGGCACTCAAATATGTATATGCACTCAAATATATATGTACGAGTATATATAATTCAGTGAATTTGAAATGAATTGATTTACCGTCGCTAAAATTTATTTTTATTCAAAGCAATTTAATATTCTATTCCACGGCCAAAAACAAATTTTAATAATTTAGATTTTCTTTTGTTTCAAAACTGTTATACATTTTAACTACTTATAATTGAAGGGGATTAAAACAAGAAGGAGTTAGAATGCTTAAAAATTCGAGATTTCGAGGAAAAAGTGTAATATATAAAATATGGTATACCTGATGATGATGTCATACCATGATGTGGACTCATAAATGAACTTAATTTTGCACTATGATGATATGGTGTCATAAATATATCACTTTGATATTTATAGGTGGGATCACTTGCTGGTTGTGTTGCTGCTGCTAATCCTTGAAAATCAAATTTATATGCATAACGTTTTCCATGTACTTTTGTCATTATATTTTTATCATAATAATATCTGAAAATATTTAAAAAAAAAATATTAATACAAAAATTCTAATTACATATACGAGTACCATTAATGTGGTAGCGAGTCAAAATAATATGAAAAACATTTAGAAAGTGAAAGATTTATTTAAGATTTAAAGTGTTATATATATTTTCCTTGAATAATATTTTGGATTGGCTGCATATAAAAAGATATAACAGAATAGTTAAGCTCAGATAGGCGTTCGGAAAGTAATATTAGTACACAGTGTGAAGGTAAACGCGACGCCGAGCAAAAATAAGAACTTTCAACACATATACCACATTCGAGATTATTAATTGAATATATCTACTAATTGTAATATATTCATGGTATAAAATATAGCAATTATTCATCAATAAGCGTCTGAGAATAATATGTTACATATTCTGGCGACCAACAATTTCAGTGGCGCCTCGAAATATGTCATTATGGTTTTGTAAGGAAGATTTTATTGATATATTAATTTAAAAATCTGAAACCTTACACCTTATTCTTTCGAAATCGGTTTGTTATTATATTGAAATCTACTTAATCAATCTCTCACTCATATAAATTTCTATTAACATGTTATAATTTAGAAATTGCTCTTAATATTTCGAAAATCCTTGTAATTTAATATGCGTACAATAAAATTAATGATTTCATAATGAAAATAAACGCTTTTTTATAGATATAATTTTATTGAAAAAATCTGTTATAAATAAAAATTTCTTTAATAATTCTCCCCTGTTTTCTTTTTGGCAAACCATTCTTTCAATGTAAAATTTACTGACCATAAATGAACACAAATTTTAAATGTTATAGACAATCTTAACTCTTTACATTTGTTTTTTTTTTATGCTCTTTACACACACTTTATATTTGCACAAGATTTTAACAAAAGTAGAAGAAAGAAAAAGAATATACCTAATATTTGTACATTAATATTTATTTGTTATAATGGCATAAAAATCCTTCAAAGTCATTTAAAATCCTGTTCTATATAACAAAAAATATGTAAGAGTTATACATGCAAACCCCTATGGTAAAATCTAAAAATGATAACATGATTTTGAATATATTTTTTTGGTAAATATTTCTTTAATAATAAAGAAGTGCGAAATTCAAGTGTGTTTTAATGATTCTGACAATAGCAATATAGGAGGATAAAAAAAATATAAATTGATGAAATCATTTTCATTTAAACCATTCATATGAGATACACAAGTACCATTCTGTGGCAATTCTATATATGTTATGTAAGTATACATACAAGTATATTTTGTCAATGAAGTTTTTATTTTGTATGATGGAGATGAATGAATTTCTTAAGTAGTTTAATGGCTCCTTAGTGTATATGAAGGTTGTTTATATATGTATACAATAATATCATCTATGGTTTGCTATTACCATTATTGTGAATGGTATACAAATACCGTTATTTATGCATATAATATAAGAAGTGGTTATTAAGACAAACTTGTATTTTCATGTATAATTTCGTATTGTCCTTTAAATGAAAGAGTTGAAAGATTAAGAGGATTAGAATTTAATTTTTTTGGTTTTGTTAAAGATTACCTTCATGCTTTTTAAGGAATTTCCAAAAGTATTTTTTCTTAAATAGGACTGAAATCTTTTAAAATCTTAAGTAAGACGAAATGGACCGGCGGACTTAGATAGACCACATGTAATCGTACGTTCAATGACGGTCTGGTGACCATGAAATGGTATATGATAGCAAAGCGACACATTTGCGCTAATTGAGATGCAGTAAACCTACTATGTACAGGCAAAATTTTTAAAAGATTTTGTGTAAAATGATGACAAGAACCTCGTCTACTCGCAAATTACTCTAATGTTGACTAATTTTTCGAATTTTTTTTTAAATTGTAGAAAAAAAAAATTAAAAAAATTTTCAATTATTTTGTAATTATATGAGAAATTTTTTAGCAATTAATTCAATTTTTATTTTCAGTCCAACAAACCTTTAGTAAATAAATAACAAAAAAAAACATAAAAGTAAAAAGGACTAAATTAACTTTATTTTTTTTTGTTGTTTTTGTATGACAAATCGATTTTTTTCTTTCAATCGTGATGCACAAATATGTTACATTTTCATTCCCTTCACTTATTTTTTAATTTCAATTTGATTTTTCGTTGATTCTGTTTTGTTTTGATGGTATTTCTTCCTCATTTTTGATTTACCGGACGGACAGGTATATTTTTCCAATAAAATCCCAACAGGATGTTTTTATTTAACTTTCCTATATATACAATTATATACTCTTCATAATTTCATTTTGAGAATTTTTTTCCCCGCATTCATTCGATTCGCCCCTTCTTATTTACAAGCAATATTTATTCAATATTTTGATAAATCATTACTTTTTGCAATTATATTTAGTATGCAGGAGGAATAATACGAATGATAATATCAACGATTATAAGGCGTACAGTCTGTATTAAGTACAGTTTAATGAAGAGTTCAAATTTCGAATTGTCGCAGTTCGAAATTTGAAGAAAATTTAATTAAAAATGTATTGATTTTTTGTGTGATTACATTTTGTTTTCAGATTTTTCGAGAAATTTATTGGCGAATGGAAAAAATTGACAAAAACTTATATATTTATGCAAATTTAAAGTGGGTTGGCAAGTCTAATCAGCAATCAAAACTGCATTTTCTGCAGATAGCACACATCACTTAGAAGATTTAAAGAATTCAACTTAGAAAACTGGTAAGAGTGATAGCCACATCACATATTTTAAATATTTTGTAAAGTTTCTCAAAAGTATGCAACATTTTCCCTATTTCACTTACAGTTCGTGCTATATTTACTCTACTGTAATAACCCAGCAGTTCATTTAATAATGAATTAATAAAAACATGTTCTGTAAAATCTTTAATATTGTAGAAAATCAAAATGAAATTGTTACAAAAAGCAAAAATGAAAATTATTTAGTTCTTCTTTTTTCTATAATAATTTGATTTCAGCGTTTTAATGTTTTGATTATAGAATTTTATTTTTGCAACGTTTTAACATTTTGTTTTTGTCCTTTTTTTTTCCTACATATAGCTTCATAGTTCTTGCCCTCAATTTTGATTTTTGTATTTGTTTGCTTTATTTTTTTTCTTATTTGGAAATTCTCTGATATATTGTCATATATTTGTTACTATATATCCTTGTATATATTTGAAATATAGAAGGATATAAAAAAGGGATATACTATGATATGATGCAATATAGTATACAGGATATAGAAAACATATTATAATTTCTTAAATTCTTGTAAGGATTAAATTTTGGATTAGTATATAGTGAACATGAACATGCCGTTTCGTTTATTTATTTAGTTAGGTGAACTAAAATGAACAGTGTTCGACGATTCCGCCCTTGGGTGAGTTGAAAAACATTATAGATGAGAAGACTAGAAGGCCGGGGGGGAACTTGCTTTGGGATGGTGGGAAGACTTGTGCAAAGACAACAGCCATGTGGAAGAATGAGGGATCTGTTGGCACTGAGGAAGGAATCTGCTCGCATTGAGAAAGGTAGACTCAGTATTCCCCATCAGGGTGGAGGAGGAAGTGCGACACTTGCTTTGCGAATGCCTCGTTCTGATACGAAGAAGACCTTTTTTAAAAAAATATTGGTTTGAAGATTGGAGGAGTTCTTTGGGGCATCCGTGCGTGATCTGCTAAACTTTGTCAAAGAATTTGGATGAGAGAAAAGTGTCCTGAAGGGATGCCGACGGGCCTTCTATTGATTTAATATTGGGTGGTAGCGTTGTCGTCTTGCCGTCTCATCCCCCCTATAGACCATTTTCCGCCTTACACATTCTTTTAAGTATACCATTGAGAGACAATGTCCAATGAGCACGCTTAATAGTCTCAACACTAAGTGACCCATCCCGATCAGCCCGTTCCTTCATGCTTTGGAAGGTACAATGAACCTTCTTATTGGATATCGATGATTTTACAGACTATAACGAACAGTTGCGCTTAGCAAAACCAATAGTTAAACTTTAAAATATTTCGTCGAGTTACAATCCTATTGTATGCTATATCAATTTTAATATTCTCATATTATCATGAACATTTCCAGTAGTCTTTCACTGCATGATTTAACATTAGGATCTTAAAAATTATAAATTATTACAAAAATATAAACGAAATTCGTTCTATATTTAATTTTCCTTTTATTTTTTTTTTTTGGAAAAATATTTGATAAAATATAATTGAATAAACGTTTAAAAAAAAATTTATGAAAATTAAATTAAATACAAATAAATTGTATTGAATATTACAGAAAAAAAAATATAACAAAAATATCAATAATTTTATTTTATAAAATAAAAACTATAACCATTTTCTTACAATTTGGGAAAAATCAGAAAATATCGCAAAAAAAAAGTGAAAAAATGATATGGGAAATTGAATATTAATTAAATTGAAAGTAAAAAATTTCTAAATTAAATAAAAAATAATAAAAATAAAAGAAATTCAGATATTTTCGCCGAAATTATGACGGAAAAAAATAAAATATTTTTTTTTGATTTAATTTTTGAAAATAGAATTTAGGATGATTTTTATGATAACGGAAATAGTTTTATTTGTGAATATAATTTGCGTTCGCATGAAGGTTTACGCGAATGCGGAAAATTTTATAAACTTTTTATTAAAAGGTAATTGGTGTAATGCAATTCTTAATTAAACTCTTATTTTTGGAGCATATTAACAATTTATATAACTAGTACTATATAGGAGCGGTAATTAAAATATTTTTTAATTGAAATTGCTTCCTTAATATGAATTTTAATATACGAACTAAGTGTTATATTAGAGCAATAAATTATATTTAAATATATAAGCTACTTGTTTTAATGGATAACCATAGTTCTGGAACTTGTGAAGTATCCTATCTCTAAAAACCCGTTAAACAAAGGTATAGTTATTTCATATTTCATATAAAAATAAAAACGTGTTTTAATATAATTTCAGAACATAGTCGGATGATGTAGAAACTGAAACAAGTCCCAACCCAAGGCGAAAAAGTGGAAAAAAAAACTGTTTGACATAGATTTGAATCAGCAAACTTGAATCACCTTCTTCTACCTACTCTATACCTATTAAGCTGTGAAGAGACATGAGGAATCAGTAAGAATTTTTTTATATTTAGATAGAGTTTTAGATTTGTGCAATTGGGGTACCAGTGTTACAGCTTGGGCATATTCGGGATCTATTCCCTTGAGGCACCTTGTGAGGCCTAAAATAGGTAATCAGTATTTCCCTTCTCTTAGGAGCGAGAGCATCACACTCTTCTGAAGTTAATGTATTGAGATCTCCTCATCTTCTCTATGGAATCTGTAAATGTCTTCACTTTCTAAGTCCGACCTGCTGAGGCGCCTCCTAAGTCTGCCTCGACAAGATGTTGCGTATAACTATAAAGCGTTATTGTGTATATGCAATTATTTTTTAAGCGAAGAGAATATTTTTAAAAAATTCTGGTGAAGTTGTAAAAAAAAAACAAAATGGCAGAATCCGTGAGAAAAAATTCACTTGAAATGATTTCAAAATAAACATTTTAGTCATATTTTTAAGTCATATAATTCGTCGGTCATAGAGTAAGATTTAAAACCAAATATATTCTTACTTTATTTTACTTTAAGAAATATGAGCAAAGTACGTTATAATTAACAGTTTTCTCTTTTAATTCAATTTTGTAATAAACTGCAATTACTAATAATCTATACTGTTTCTAAATCATTACTTGTATAAGAAATCTAATTTCTTTGTATATTGTATTTAACTAATTACAATTTCTGATCTAAATTACAATCAAGATTTAAGTATATAAGTAATACAAATATTTCACTAATTTTTTTAATAATTCATCATTATCTTACACACATAAATTCCGAATTCTTGAAATCATTAAAAATCAATACTTAATTATCAATTAGTTCCACCCAATTTCAGTATATAGTTTTTATTTTGAAAGCACTCCATATATTATTTTTATTGTATATATAGAACCTCTTTTAATATTATTCTAGTCACATATAAATTATTATTGTGTGTATAGAGTGTTCGTTTATTCTCTTTCTCTCTCTCTTAAAAAAAATTGTTCAATCAATTTCAAAAATACTTTTTTCATTAAACACTTATTTTTATTTTGAAAATTTCTGCTTTTTAATTCCAAAACAATACCATAATCATGATGAAATAAATATTTTTTGTGAAAAACCACTCTAAATTTATATTACTAACAATATAATTGAGTATTCTATGTACCATAAACAGTACAATCGAATCTATACACACATATACATATACAAAATTTATAAATCATTATAGTAAATTAAGAATTTTATTATAATAAGCATTATAATGTTCTTTTTCTAAAATAAAAATCGAATATAATTCAATGTACGAATACAATAGAGACAAAAAAAAATTTATTTTGGCATTTTTAGCCAATATACCATAAAAATAGTTGAACATTTTTAAACCTCGATTGTTTTCATTCTTGTTTTGCGAGAGGGTGGTAATCATTACAAATCTCATAAGATCCAATTAAGATATACGTACGAGGAAAAATGTAAAAGATTTAGGAACGGTATCTTTAATAAAAAATAATATTTTTTTTTGTAGGCGTTTTAATGGGATTCGCTTCATTATAAAATAGATTTCTTATCAATATTCATTTAAACAGTATGATGTTCCAGGTATAGATTCACGGAAATAATTAAAATTTTTACCTGGTTTTACTGGTTTTAAATTTTAAGAAAGGCCTTTACGTGAAGCGTACGCACATTTATTCTAGCAAATGACTTTATATATTTATGCGAAAAATAAATGTCAAATAAATATCAAATATTGAAATTTATAGCCTAGTTTTTACTCCTCTGTACATCTCTAACAGGATTTTCATATAAAAGCAGTCTTTCCAGAGTTGGAATAGTCTGTCTTCTGGAGGAATACAGCAAATCGGGAATTCAAGCTACTCTAAGCTACTCTGGAGGAACACACCAATTATTAGAATACAAAATAATATTGGGAAGTGAAAAAGCTGTAAATAATATAAATAGTGCGAAATCGGAACAGCGAAAATAAAACTCAGAATAATTCTAAAACACAGGATCAGACAGAATTTAAATATTTCGACAGAATGTCAAGTAACAATCAATTATTTTTGTAATTGTGAAAAATTAGACAGAAATCTAAAAAGAAAAGAAAGAAAAAAAAATTTCACCCTTATTTTATTTTCTAGTAAATGAGATTTTTATTGAATCTGTCAGAAATTTGAAAAAAAGAAAAAAAATATCCAAAACGAAAATGAAAATTTAAGAATTTTTTTATTATGTCAAAATAAAACAGCAGGATTCTGTGAAATTCTTCGCATTATTAACACACAAAACAATCAGAAATTGAATTATGATTGTTCCTTTCTGCCCTTTATTTCCCATTCATATGCGAATTCATATGTACATTGTAGCTACATATGGACAAACTTACATATACAATACATAAATTTGTTATTGTACAAATTTGTTCAGTAATTAATTGAGAATTATTTTATTTTAGTTGGTTTTGTTTTTTGTTCTCTGTCCTATATTTTATTGGATTTTCACAAATAATAAATTTAGGATGTTATAAATATTTTAGTCCTAATAATAATAATGATAATTTGGTAATAATGTTGTTTAAAAAGGGTCATCAAAACTTTGATTTAAAAATAAATTGTTTTGTTTTTTATAGAATTTGTTTAAAAAAAATAACATCATAAAAAAATGTTACTTACCTTAACGCTCGACTAAGTTTGTCATAATTCATATTTGGTTTTGATTTTCTTTCACCCCATCGTCTCGCAACTTCATCTGGATCAGTTAATTTAAATTCACCATTGGTACCTTCCCATGTAATACAGCCAGCATTATTTGAATCACTTAATAGTTCCAATAAAAATTGCCATAATTGAATTTGTCCTGATCCTATATATAAAAAAAAAAAATAAACATTAAATATTAATGTAAATGAACGGGCTCATGATGAAAAAAGTCATATAATAATGACAATGTTCTCTTCAAACTATACTGAATTGAAAAGTGGAGGAGATCCCATTGCATCTCCTTAATAAGTATTGAGTGTTGATCTATAAGAGAAGAGACAGTCTGGTTGAACCTTCGCTGAAGGGCATGTCGTTGCAGAATATTCCGCGACAAAATTACTTGGATTTATTAGAGATGTTGATCTCGAGTAGGATACTATATGCAAAATACTACACAGACGGGACGGAGGCGAATTGTCACTCCAATCGCCCCAATTTACAATCTATACGATACCCAATATCTAGTCAATTTATTAGAACGAACTACAGCTAAAAGAACTTCCATAATGTTACATTCATTATTTATATTTTTAGTTTCCGAATGAAATTAATTTTTTTATTTATTAAAGGTGCATACATAAATAATACATACGCAATTTCTTCTAAATTTCAATTGAAAATAAATACATAAATGTGAATGTGTGTATAGTAAATAAAACTAGTACTTGAAAATTTATGTAAACTAATGGTTTTTTTGCGGTTTTATTATTTTAAAATAAAAGTTGGATAATAATTGGAAATTTATTATTATAGTAAAAAATAATCACACGGTAAATCAAATAAAATATATAGAAAATGTTTTTATTCCTGGAAAAATTGAGTAATTATGTAACAAAATAAATTTTAGTACAGAATTAATTTCAAATTAAAAATTGAAAAGTATAAATGTGAAAAAATTGGTAATGGAATAATTCTCCCAATTGGCGGATAAAATGTAATTATCTTGAATGAAGTACAGTGAAGGAACTGTGTGACTTGTTTTGAAATTATCCAAATTATTCTTATAAAATGATGTAGTGAAGCCAAAACAGCTGCTTAGGTGAATGAAAACCACATAGTATTGGCAGGCAAAGAGTTTAGTAAGTTATCAGCGATTTCACCAGATAGATTAATTCTGTAGCGGGAATTTAAATTCATGGATGCTACCGCTACTTGCGAGGACAGAAATAAATAAGGAAAGTAGAAGAACGTTAGGTATAACTTATATTACTGAGTATAACTGTTACCGTGTAGAAGTGATTACAGTGAAGGTAGCGGAAGGCGTGGGAGAGAGAGAGCGCTTATTATTGATTGTATTAAATTACCAAGAGGGTAAGTTATTTCTCGGTTCTTATTAACACTTTAATAACAATTAAACTCAATTAAATTTCTTAAGAGATTTACTTTTAAGATTATTTAAATCGCGTAAATACTTGAACTACACCATTATTTAATTAAATTAAATAAAATTAGGTGTGCACATACATTAATTATTTTAATTAGAGTTTTTAATGAATTCTTGCATCCTGAAATTGCTCTTAATGTTTTTATTAAATTAAACTAAATAACTGTTATTTTACTGTTATATCTGAAGTTTAAAATCTTTATTTTTTTTTTTTTGATAAATCGTAAAAAATAATCGGAATTAAGAATTTTTTTTTTTTTCCGGCATATATGCCTCTGTGCATATAAAATAAAATAGAAAAGAAATAAAAAAAAAATATCAAAGGTATTTCAATAATTTCATAGCGTTTTTTTTTCTTCCTTTTTTTCATATTATTATTATTTTCCGGTAACAAATTTTCTCTTTAGTTAACATTTCCTTTTAATTTACATACAGTGAAATTGTAATGCAAAAAAAAAAAAATTGAAATAATTTTTTTTTTTATTTGAAATTTTAATTTTAATTTTTTTTTTTATTTTTTAATTATATTAGTTAATTGAATGCTTCAACATGGAAAAACATTTTTGTTTTTCACCATTGAAAACATTAATTTTTCACCACCCACCCTTATAACGCCTTTATTCCAACCAACTCTCTATATATGCTCTAATTTATAACAACAACTTCAAATTTTACTCAATTACTTTGGAGAGAGAGTGAAAAATAGAAAAAAAAATTATTATTATTTTTTTTAATAAATCACAAACATACATGAACACAACACATATGTATGAATGTATGCATGTATTATGATTACTAATTATTTCCTTCTCTTTCATATACACAAAATTTCTTGTTCTTTTCATTATTATTGTTGTCATTATTTTGATGTTGTGCTCCTTTGTAACTGTTGTTTTTTTTTTAAATAAAGAAATATGACCATTAGAAATGTTAAAGTGTAATTAACAAATTTTTTATTACTAATACATGTGCAACAAAAAAATTACGTATGTACGTAAAATATGCTTGCATACTAGGTAATACTCACAATATATTTAGTTTACAAGTTAATTTCTATAAAAAAAAGTGAAAAATTTTAAAAAGGTGTGGTTTTTTGTCCTCCAACTTTTATTTTTATTTTTTTTTTCAATAAAATTATTAATTTCACCTTCATTTTTTTTTTAGACTTTCATTGAAAAATCCAAGCAGTAGAATCCAGAATAAACAAAAATAAAAATGGGATGTCAAACGAAAAAAATTTCCCAATATTCCTTACAAAAAATACAACACAAAACAATACAATATTCAATAATAACACAAAACCAATATTCTCTCCAACAAGAACTACTGAACATTAAGACCGATAAAGACAAAGAATGGCAGTCTACTCACATCAACCCAAAAACAATTAAGCAGTTGGAGAGAACACTTGGCAGAAAACCAACACATCTACCGAAATTTGAATACCAAAAATTAAACATTAGGGAACATACTACAATTGAAAGAGGGGCACTAAACTAACCATTAGAGAAATAGTGGAGGCAATTAGAAGGCTAAAGCTCAATGAAACAGAAGGACTACAAGGTATATTTTAGCTAAACTTTTTAAAGTTGGAAAGTTTACAAAAAAAGTAACTTATCAGAATGCCGTAATTAAAGAGGCATAACAGTGCTTAATAATGTAACCAAAACAGTAATCGTCATAGGATAGTAGAAAAATTGAACAAAAGCCTAAGAGAAGAACTAGAGTGTGGGTGCACCGAATACTTTAACACAATTAGATTGGTAGTCGAGCAATCAGTAGAACGGAACAGCCCCTGAACGACGCTTTCGTGGTCTTTGAACGTGCTTTTGACACAATCAAGCTAGACGTGATGTAGACTGCACTCAAATAAAAAAAAAACCAGAATTCTTGCCAAACTAGTACAAATTTTATAAGCGATTTATAATGATTCCGAAGAATTGGTGTTACATAAAGGCGAACTTTGTTCCCCCACCAACACAACAGTAGGAGTCAGACAGATTCTCCCTATTCCGTTGTTGTTGTCCATCATTGTATTAGACAAATGTATGAGAGAGGTAGCATCACTACGTAAAGGAATCAGTTGGCAGTTTTTACAATTATGTTCTTGATAATAAATACCGAATTCGACTGTAAAAAATATTTCAGGAAAGTGTTCCGGGGTTTAATACAAATGCTATGTCGTTGTTATTGTACTAACCAAAATACTTTCTTCAACGAAACATCTGAATTTTATCTTTTCAAGGCAGTCGTCATAAACATTTACGAACAACATAAAATTTTAAAAAGTGTGATTTTTCATAAAAAATTTCTAAATATTTTTTTAATAAAAAAAATCATTAACTCAATTTTCATATATCCTGTCATACATACATTAATGTATATGTGTAAATAACAAAAACAAAACCACAAGGTGAAAAAGGAAACCCCAAAATAAAAAAGGGACAAAAATGTTGTTTTTCTTGTTTGACCGTCGGCAAACGGCAATTGTTTCTTATGTTTTTTATTCTTTTTGCATGATTTTTTTCTATTTTTTTTTTTTTAAATAAATGGTGTTCCTTTTTAAGGACAAAAGTTCCCATGTTTTCAATCCAAAAAAAAAAAAATAAGAAATCTTAATTTTTTTTTGTTTTTGGTTTCTTTAATTGCAATTTTAAAATATAGTGATTGCCGGATCTTAGCAAAAACAAAAAACAAGAAAAATCAAGTTATTTTTGCACACAATTTTCTAATTATACCAACATATAGGGAAAATTAAAAAAGAAAAAAATAATTTTTAAGAAAAAAAAAATTAAAACAATTTCGTCCTTTTCTTGTTGTTTTGCTTTTTTTTTTGTATTTTGCTCATGTTCCGTCATTTTGAAAAATGCTAATATTTCCTTTCAAAGGAAGTTCGTTTTCTCTTTTCATCTGCGAATGAAAAAAACAGAAACAAAATTAAAAGCAGGAAAAAAAAACAACGATAGTAGCAATTTTTTTTTTCACCCAAAGAATTTTTAAATTTTCACTTTGATCCGCATATGTTGGTTGTTGTTGCTCTTGTGTTCCACTCTAAAGTTACAGGAAGAGCGAAAAACGTGAAATAAAAGAAAAATTAACCGCGTCTCAAAGAAAAACAAAATTCATAAAGGATCATTATTTTTTTTATAGGTCTTTCGTAATAACGAGGAAGGGAAGAGAAGGAGAGCTTTGGATGACAAATTAGCTCTATAGTAAGAAGATTTTTTGTTTTTGTATAGTTTTAAAAATTTTGCCCCCCATTACATTACAAAAATATTAATTATACAATGATAAACATACAAACACACACAGAGAAATGCACATTATTCACGTATATTTTAAGAACGTATTTTAAGAACGTTAATTTAATAATAAAATCAGGATGTAATTAAATTTTTTAATCCTTTCCTTTATGAAAACAAAAACAAGAAAACATCAAAAAGACTTAAAAAATAAGCGTAAAAAAATTAATTTTTTTTTAACTTTTGAAATTTTCTTTGTTTTCCATACTAAACTTTTATTTAAGAATAGCTAGCTCTCTATACGATGATGATTCTTACATGTTTCCTATACTTGGTTTTTAACTTTTTATGTAATGACATATGTGAAAATTTGTTACTTTGATCATATTTTTAGGTCTCCTATAATAACAAAAGAACTATAAAGTACTTGTAAACTTCTTTACTTTTTAAGTCAAAATAATTTTATGCCGCCTCGTT